GGGAGGTGGATGCAGCCCTGGACCCACCAAGGTGCAAGATGCAGTGGTCGGGTCAGTGAGGCTAGAGGTGGATTATGGGGGTATGGTGAGGATGCAGGTGTGAGGCAATAGTGCTGTAGAGGGGAAAAGAGAGCAAGAGACACACTGTGAGATGGGGAGAAAAGGAGACAGAGACACAGAGATACAAGAGAGACATGAAGAGAAAGGAGGAACAGAGACTCAAAGGAACAATAAGAGACAGAGACAGCAGGAGAGAGAGGGAGCCTCTCAGGAGCAGAAAAAGGGAGACAGAAATACAGAGAAATACACACAGAATTTTAGAGAGACAGAGAGGAAAGAGACGGAGGATGAGATGGAGGATAAGAGGGGAAACAAGACATTATACCCAGGGAGAGGCAGTGGTGGCACATCTGCAGCCATTTTTTTCCCCATACAACCTCCAACCCTGGGCCCAACCCTTAGCCTGTCTACACAATAGGTCATGTAGGTCAGGTGGTGGGCACTGTTAAAGGCAGCCTTCTCCATTGCTGTCACTCCACCCTACAGACAAGGAATCTGAGCATTCAGGGCTATGGGCAGGTTTCCTGACTCCTTGTCCTGGGCTGTGTGCGATGGGCTCTGGTCAGGGATATGAGAATAGTAAGACAGGCATGGAAGTAAGGTCAGAGGGCCCAAAGAGAAAAACAGAGGGAAGAGACAAACAAGCAGAAAGAAAGTAGGAGAGATGCAGAGATGCTTAGAGAGATATAAGTACAGAGGGAGAGAACAAGAGTAATCGAAAGACATACACACAAAGAGCTAAAAAGAGAGCACAAAACAATGAGGAAACAGAGAAATAAAGATGGAGGGAGACAATCAGAGAGACATGAAAAAACAGAGAGGGGGAAAACATTAGACATTCATAAAGGCACAACAAAAGAGAAAGGGCAAGGTATATCATAGAAACAGAAAGATGAGAGAGAAATAGTCAAACCTGAGGAGAAAGTCTGGGAGAGTCCAGGGAGACAGAGAGATAGAGACAGAATACACTCAAGGCAAGACAGAGGCAAAGAGACATCTTGCAAGTCTTCGTCAGCCTCTGTCACCACGTCAAGTGTGGCAGATGGTAAACTGAGGCCTGGGGATGGTGGGAATTGAAGGAACCTAAAAGCAGAACTGTGGCAGGCCTCCCCAAGGGAGAGGGTATGGGGTAGAGGGAACACCTCCCACCTGTCACCCTCCTCAGAGGAAGCTAGTGGCCTTGGGGTGATTTCAAAAGCTGGGCGGGGATGGCAAAGATAAGCAGTGGGGGGTACCGACCCCCCCCCATGGTGCAGGGAGGAACTGAGGGGGCCTTCTGGGTGCAGACCCAACAGAGGCGGGGGAGGGGGAGTCAGGCTCAGGCCGGAAACCATGAGGTTTCTGAGAAAGTCAGAAGGCAAGATGCAACCGATAGGGATGAAGCTGGGGAGCACAGTAGGGTGAACCCCAAGGTCCTGAGGGAGTGACTTAAGGGTTTGAGAGACCTTTGTTCTGTACCCCATCTTACCCTTACCTAAACTCTTCTAGGGGGGAGGGAAGGAAGGATGAGAGGAGCAGGGAGAGAAGAAGAAGAGGAAGTAGGGGGGAGGAGATGAGAAAAGGGAGAAAAAAGATGAGCACCATAGAGGAGGGAGAGGAGAAGGACAAAAAAGAGGGAGGAGAGGGGAGAAAAGGGGAAGGAGCAAGAGAAGAGAAAATGAGTAGTAGGAAGAAAGAAGAGTAGAGATGAAAAAAACGGAAGAGGGAGGTAAGGTACACGAAAAAGAAGTGGATGGGGCTAGCAGGTGGCATGGTGGTTAA